CGGGGGGGGGGGGGGGGGTGACAGGAGGGGGAGAAGCCAATACGACGGAATGTTTTCAGTTGTTAATTCTGGATGAGGGGATTCTAAGCATATGATCATCCTTTGTATTTTCTGTATTTAATTTCCCCCTCAAATTAAGTAAAAAAGAGAGGAAAGAAGACTGCACTGATTAGATGTGGGGTGAGTGAGAGAGTAGGGGCTGGCAGGTTTCTGGCCAATGGTGGTACCGCTCACTGAGACAGTTGCCCTCGGAGAAGAGTGGGGAGACGGCAGCCCCGGTGGGGCCAGCTGCTGGAGCGGCTGGGGGGTCCCCCTGGGAATGACACCGGGGACGATCCTAACGGAAGCTCAGTGGGTGGAGAGCCTTGGCTACACGCCCCATTGAAGTCAGGTGTGACAAGCCTGTGACTCTTAAATCTGTGGATAAATCGGAGCAATGTTGAGCTCATGGCTCTATTTCTTTATATTTTATTTTAGAGCAAAATAGAGAAGTCGAGGCAACTATTGTTAACAAATGAAGATGGGTCTATTCATGACTTGCAGGACAAAAGGGTAGGTGTCCCCTGCCTGGGTCAAGGCTGGGTGTGGTTGCCTGGGGGGGGACTCTGCCCTCAGATGCTCTGAAAGGATGGAGCGTGGTCTTTGAAAACAAGGGATGCACTTTTTGAAATTGGTTTGTTTTTTCTTTGTAGTTAGCATTCCTTCTCATGAGCCAGATTAATATGAGGTGCCAGTAGCAGGAACTAGTAATCAGGAGGAAAAAAATCATAGGCTTCCTCCCACGCAAGGGCTTTTAGTGGGGATTCTCTGTAGTCGGTTCCTGGAGCCCTGTGGCAGATTCCAGAATGGAGGCAGGTCTCCCAAGTCTGATTCTATTTCCTATTAGAGGCTGGGTTCCGGGGCCGGGTTCCATTCCTGCCCAAAGACTCAAACCAAGTATTTGATACCTGCCGTGCCGTGAGCGTGTGGGCCTTTCCAGGGCCCACAGACATCCGTCCCGGGAGGCAGCCTGTGGAAAGCTCACAGATTCAACTTGGTTTTTCTAAGAACTTGTTGGGCCTTTGGACTTAGAGGCTGGCTCTCTTGCAAGGGACTTAGCTAATGGTGTGCTGTGTCGCCTGCACATAGCCTGCCGAGGGATAGGTTAGGTATTGGCCTTGAGTCCTCTCCAAGGTCAGAGATTTAGGGATTTTTAATGTTTTGGTTGTTGTTTTTTAATTGAAATATATATGTGTGTGTGTGTGTGTGTATATTGATTTTAGAGAGAGAGGAGGGAGAGGGATAGAGAGATAGAAACATCAATGAGAGAGAATCATTGATTGGCTGTCTCCTGCATGCCCCTAGTGGGGATCAAGCCCAAAACCCAGGCATGTGCCCTGACCAGGAATCAAATCAGAAAGCTCTTGGTGCATGGGCTGATGCTCAACCACTGAGCCACACCGGCTGGGCTTGTTGATTTTCTTTACTTGGATGATCTCTTTGGTTGCTGTAAGCTCATTTCCTGTTTGCTTTGAGCTCTCCATATGGTATGTAACAGTCTGCCCTCCACTCTCTGAAAAGTGGAGCAAAGACAACATCAGAAATAGACTGGAGAGATTTGTTTGCTGTCAAGCCACCTTTAAAGTTATTGCTTGTGCCTAGCTGGTGTGGCTCAGTGGTTGAGCGTCGACCCAGGAACCAGGAGGTCACCGGTTTGATTCCCAGCCTGGGCACATGTGCGGGTTTCGGGCTCGATCCCACTGGGGATTGTGCAGGAGGCAGCCAATCGGTGACTTCCTCTCTCATTGATGTTTCTCTTTCTCTATCCCTCTCCCTCCCCCCTTTCTCTCTCTCAAGATCAATAAAAATATATTTTAAAAACACACACACACACACACACACAAACTACTGCTTGTTTTTTCTCTTTTTAGATCCAAGAAGCTTGGAAGAGAAGTCTCGTAAGTTTCAGCCCCTCCCTAATGTTTAGCCCCGAAAAGAACAAAACCAAACATCAAACTAACCTGTGTGCTTCCCTTTTTGAAGGCAACAGTGCATCCTGACAGCAGCAAACTGATCCCCAGTCTTTTCCGACCTGCAGGTGAGCTGATTCTAATGGTCAGAGGTGGGTGGGAAGAGGTGATATCTAAGAGTTACAAAACGCCGCCTGCCTTTTTGTAATTGGTTTTTTCTAGAAGGATTTCTGACAGTGAGTCTGGAAACCACAGCTTAAAAAGAATATTTGAAGGGTGTGGGGAGAGCAGATTTGGGGCCCAGAGTCGTGTCCAGTGCTGGGGACAGATCTGGGTTTGAGTGAGGGGACAGGCTTCCAGGCCTGAGCCGCGTCGCCGCCCGACCAGCACTCCATGCGTTCACCAACCCCAAAGCTCTCCAGGCCGCCTGCTAGTATTTTTATTTTTTTATGTCTGTTTTTTAAATATATTTTTATTAATTTCAGAGAGGAAAGGAGAAAGAGAGAGAGAGAAATATCAATGATGAGAGAGAGTCATTGATCGGCTGCCTCCTGTACTTCCCCGCCCCCCACTGGGGATTGAGCCCACAACCTGAGTATGTGCCCTAATCGGGAATTGAACCATGACTTCCTGGTCCATAGGTCAATGCTCAACCACTGAGCCATGCAGGCTGAGCATCTGTTAGTATTTTTAAATGGAAGCTTAATTAGTGGTCCTGGCTGGTGAAATCATTGGCCCTTGGTGATTAGCTCAACCCCCAGCCCCTCTCTGCTCCCTGGAGGAGGAGGTTAGGGGAATGGGACAGATAGGTCCAACTTTCTCAGGTGGTTGGTTCCCTGGCAACCAGCCTCCAGCCTCGGGGGCTTTCCAAAGACACCTCTGCCGTAAACTCAGGTGTGGTTGGAAGGAGCGTGTTATGAGTAACCATAACCTTGACCGAGTTCCTCTCACTTGGGAAATTCTAAGAAGTTTAGGATATTTGTGCTAGGAACGGGGAAGGAGAGCAAATTCACATTTTGTATTACTGTATGTTATTTCTAGAGGCCCGATGCACAAAATTCGTGCAAGAGTAGGCCTTCCTTCCCCCAGCTGCTGGCACCGGCTTCCCTCGCAGCCCCAGCTTCGTCTGGAAGGTCGTCCAGAAGGACGTCTGGTCTAATTAGCATATTGTGCTTTTATTATTATAGATAAACCACAGGTGTATTACATTCACGTGGCAGGTGCGGGTTAACACTGCTTACCTTCAGCAAGAGCAGTGGTTCTCAACCTTGGCTGCACATTAGAATCACCTGGAATCTTGTTAAAATCCTGATTTCTGGGCCTCATCCTCCGGAAATTCTGTTTCTTTGTTACTAATGATGAGGCCAGAAATCAGCGTTTTAACAAGATTCCAGGTGATTCTAATGTGCAGCCAAGGTTGAGAACCGCTGAGCAAGAGGGACTCGGAAGGCTGGTGGGTGGGAGCCTCGTTACGTCTTCCTGTGCTGCGCTGGTTTACATTTTTGCCACGTGCATATAGTTGTTTTTATGAAGAAAATAAGAAGAATGAGTAAAAAATACCCTTTGATGTCCGTGCCTTCCAGGCGGCTGGAGAAGAGGTGTGGGGAGGGGTGCCCCCTTCTGGCCCTCCTCTGCAGCCTTTGACCCCCTTCTCTTTGCCAGCTCTCCTGCCTTTCACGGCGCCCATGGTAAGTGAGCAGCTCCTTGCTGTTGTGTGAGCCGGGGAGGCACGCTGGGGGGTGAGGAAGATGTCCACCCATCTCCTAAACCCCAGCTCCCCGCCCCTGCCCGTGACTGAGAGATGGTCATGGGTCCCTACCCTGGCGCCTGTCTGCTCTTCATGTTCCCTCCCCGCCCCACTTACCTAGTCAGGCAGCCGGGCCTCTCGAGGGACCACAGGGTGTCACAGGGTGACCCTGGCTTTGACTGCCTCCTGTGCACAAAGCACTCCGGGAGGAGACCCATGAGTTAAGATGTGCTTCCTGCCACAGGCCCACAGAATGGGCCTTTACTGTGTCTCCCCAAGCCCTCGCCCTGGCACAGGCCCTCACCTGGGACCTGGAATTGCCCTCAGCAGGGCCAGCCCAGCTTGGCTCTCACGGGGTGACAGCACGGCTCTGCCACTTCTGCCACACCTTCCCCTGCGGAGAGCATCCTTCTCAGCTGCCTGCTCAGCTGCAGGGCTCAGAGGCAGGGCCACTGCGAGGCCCAGGTGTCCTCAGTGCCCGGGTGGTGCCCATTCAACATCGCTTTTTCCATGACCGGGGGCCCCTGCATCACACTGTCCTCTCCTTGTCCCAGCTCCTGGGGGCCCCAGTTCTGTGTCTCCCCTGGGAACTTCTTTGCTCCAACGAGCTCTCGCTCCCCTGAAACACTATAACTGCTTTTTTTTTTTTTCTCCTTTAAAGGTATTTCTGTCGCTGGTGCCAGTGAAAAGCCTAAAGTCTATCATTTTACCTCAGGTAGCACACATTTCAGTGTCGCGATTACTAAATTCTGTTCTTAAAACCAAAGTGTGACTTTCCGCCTCTGTCTTCCTGCAGTTGTCTTTCTGTACCTACAGTACAGCGTTCAACATCGTCAATGGAAACGCGAGTTATGTGAGTATCAGGGGCCCCAGGGGGTTGCAGCCTTGTACTGCATCTTCTGGAGTTATTCTTTGTTTTAATTATCTTTTCTGGGTAAACTGTGCTATTGGCTAAACATACACTATTGTTTTTCCCTAGAACCGTCGTCCATTCGAGAGTATATTACTAGGGACAGGAGTGATTGCTTCTACAGCCTTTTTTGGAGTAAGTATTTTAAAATCTCTCTTTTGTGTGTGTGTGTGTGTTAATCTTCATCTGAGGATATTTTTCCATTGATTTTTAAAGAGAGTGGGAGGGGGAGAGACAGAGAGAGAGAAACATTCATGTGAAAAAGAAACATCGATTGGTTGCCTCCAGACACAGCCCGACCGACCGGGGCCGGGATCAAGCCTGCAACCGAGTTTCGTGCCCTTGACCGGAATCAAACCCGCGACCCTTCCGTCCATGGTCTGACACTATCCACTGAGCCAAACCGGCTAGGGCTAAAATCTCTTTCGTTCTTCAGAATTCAAAACAAAACAAAACTTTACTCTGATTATAAATTTATATTCCATCTTAAACAATTCATACAATATGATTAAGACGTAAAGAAGAAAATAAAAGTCACCTGTAACTCTATCCCCCCCTATAGTCACGTGAGTATTCCAAGTTTCTAGGCATATGTGCAGTATGGTTATCTTTTTAAAAAATTAATTTATGCTCCACAAACATGGTATGCACATTGTATATTGCTTTGGATGTCAGGATATTAGAATGGTTAAAAGTGTAGACTTTAGAGTCAGGTAAGCCTAGGTTTGTATCCTAGCTTAATTCCTGAACAGCTCAGCGACTCTGGACACATTAATGTCCCTTCTTGAAACCTCCGTGTATTCCTCTGATGATCAGGAGAACAGCTCAGTGCTACACAGATTTAAAAATACACAGAGAGCCCGGCTAGTGTGGCTCAGTGGTTGAGCATCAACCCAGGAACCAAAAGGTTGCCAGTTCGATTCCCAGTCAAGGTGCATGCCCAGGTTGCAGGCTCGATCCTCGGTGTGAGTGTGCAGGAGGCAGCTGATTGATGATGTTCCTGTCTTATCTATGTTTCTGTCTCTCTATCCCTCTTCCATCCTTTCTCTCTAAAATTTCAAAAAGAAAAAACATTTAAAAATAAATAAGTAAAAGAAAAATACACAAGAGAGCCCGGCTGGTGTGGCTCAGTGGTTGAGCTTTGGCCTATGAACCAAGCGGTCATGGTTCGATTTCTGGTCAGGGCAAATGCCAGGTTGTGGGCTTGGTCCCTGGAGGGGGGTGGGGGGGGCCTGTAGGAGGCAGCTGATCAATGATTCGCTCTCCCTCTCTGAAATCAATAAAAACAATAAAATAAAAATAGCGCGCGCTGACGGAGGTCTCACCTGTGATAGGAATGAGGTCGATGCCAGCTCTCTGCTGTCGAGTGTGTTCAGCTGATTTCTTGTCCCATGCAGTGATGCTTTTTCTCTCTCATTTTCTAGTTATTCCCTCGTTTGCTCCTCATGAAGAGTGCCGTGAAAAACGTTTTCCTGAGGGAAACCTTGCCTGCTGCCATTCTCAGTAAGCAGGGAGCTTGCGGTCCTGTAGTCTCTGAGCCTTTCTCCCACCTTCAGGGATACCCAGGTCTTTCGGCCACGCTGTGGCTGACGACAGCCCCCGTTTGCAGCTGGCAGGTGCCCCCGGGCCCCAACGAGGTCTTTGATTTGAGAGGTGACCCTTTCTCTGTAGAGACCCCTTTCGCTGTCAAAGGATGAACACAGACCTGGAAACACAGATTACGTCCTAAAGACTATCTGTCCAAGCCCTCGATGTGTGTTTTTCACTTCATCCTGACAGCAGTTGATGGGTAGGCAGTATTATCCCCATTTACAGATGAGGAGACTGAGGCAGGGGGAGGTAAAGGAACTTTCCTAGGGTCACAGGAAGAAGCAGTGATCTGACTCCAAGGGAGTGACAGAGACATTAACCAACTATTTTAGGTTTGCTGTCTGCAAGGTCACTGGTTCATGCTCCAGATTGTGGGTTTGGGAATCAGCACTTTGAAGAGTTGGCAGAATGTCAGTGGTAAAATTTGGGAAATTGTTATAGAAACCTGGTCAAACCAGCTAAGCAAAAAAGGGGGGCATATTTGAAGGACCCCCGGGTTTCTCTTGGAATCCTGTTAGGGAGCCAGTCTGGACTTTCCGGGGTGCTGGAAGCTGGTCCTGGGATGCGGTCAGGATCCAAGACCGACAGGCCAGCAGCCCTGACCCCAGCTCCACCGCCCAACAGAGAGCCTGGTTGGCCCAGCACAAGTCAGGTGGCCACTGAAGGTTGGGGAAGCAGCCATAGAGGAAGAGGCTGGACACCAGAGAAGATGCCCCTCCCTGGACTGAAGCTCATCTCTGTTGTGTTCTCTGCTTCAATCCACAGCCCAGGTCAGTGCAATGAATGTTGCCGCATCCCGAAGTTTTGAGCCCGTACGAGGGATCGAGGTCATGGACAAGGAAGGCAATGTCGTAGGCTATTCCAGAAAAGCTGGGACGAAGGTAGGGGAACACGATGGTGCAAGAGCTGCTTGCCTTTGGGGCAGAGAAATGAATTTTCTGTTTGGGAGCTGGTAACAAATTCGCATTTTCCTTCAGACTCTCCTTATCCTGTCTGCCCGCATTATGCCGAGAGAGGTGTTCTGTTTTGCACCCCGATGTTGAAAAGATTGTGCATTAAGACCTGGCTGGTGTGACCCAGTGGGTTGAGCGTCATCCCATGCACCTACAGGTCACCCGGTCAGTAGTGTGGGTTCTCCAGAGAAACAGAACAAATACGGTATCTACCCATCTAGCTACCTATTCATACATGTATGTGAAGAGATTTATTTTATTTATTTGTGTTTTTTTTGTTTTTATTGATTTTAGAAAGAGAGAGAGAGAGAGAGAGAAAACACACATTGATTTGTTCCACTTATTCTTGCACTCGTTGGTTGTTTCTTTCTTTTTTTTTTTTTAAATATATTTTATTGATTTTTTACAGAGAGGAAGGGAGAGGTATAGAGAGTTAGAAACATCGATGAGAGAGAAACATCGATCAGCTGCCTCCTGCACATCTCCCACTGGGGATGTGCCCACAACCCAGGTACATGCCCTTGACCGGAATCGAACCTGGGACCTTTCAGTCCGCAGGCCGACGCTCTATCCACTGAGCCAAACCGGTTTCGGCTGGTTGTTTCTTGTATGTGCTCTGACTGGGGATCGAACCCACAACCTTGTCGAATGGGGACGACGCTCTAACCAGCTGAGCTACCTGGTCAGCGCTGAAGAGATTTACATGCATTCAGCTCTAAGAACCTACAGTAGCCTATGGTAGTTTTATTTGGGGTATGGAGTTTTAAAATATTTTTTTTAACAAATCAGATCTTTTGGGGGGTACTGCGAAGTGACTTTAGCTGAAGAATTGTCATGTGAGGCAGTTGTTCGCAAATGGCACCACGAGCAGCATGAAACAGCCCCTGGAACGAGGCGAGGGAATGGCCAGCTGGCCAGCCTTCTGCCCAGCATGTCGGGGGAAGGAGGAGCTCACGAAAGAGGCTGCTCGTTCAGCCGGGAAATGCATCGTTATTCGGCTCATGGAACACGTTACTCTCGATCTTAGCAACGATTCACGAAGCCGAATTACGAGCCATCAGCTATGTCTCGAAATAATGGCACCTTTCCAAACGAACTGGTGTAATAATTGCCCGTATCAAGGAGGGAACGTGCTGCCGGAAATCAGATACCTCGTTTTTGAAATGAAGGTTGTGTTGCCTGAAGAGACATTTTTAACAGCTTCATTGAGGAGTAATTTACATACTACAAAAGCCTTGGAAGAGTATATAGTTTGGTGAATTTCAGCAAATCTAAGCAGTTACGCGGCCATCACCACGGTCCGATTTAAGAACATTTTCATCCCTCCCAAAATTCCCCTCGTGATAGTCACGCTCCCTTCCTACCCCCAGCTCCACGGAAACACTGATCTGCTTTATGCCTTCATAGTATGGCCTTTTCTAGAAATTTTATATCACTGAGCTGTCCGGCTTCTTTGACTTTTGAGGTTCATCCATCTTTTAACCCATATCAATCGTTTGTTGCTTTAGATTGCTGAGCAGTATTCCATGGTACAGATGGATGCACCACCTTTTTGCTTTTCCATTCCCCAGGCGACAGATGCTTGGGTTGTGTCCAGGTTGGGGCTATTAGAAGCAACGATGCTCTGAGCATCCGTGGGCAGCTCTCTACCTAGACCAGCGGTTCTCAACCTGTAGGTTGAGACCCCTTTGGCGGTCGAATGACCCTTTCACAGGGGTCGTCTAAGACCATCCTGCAGATCAGATATTTACATTACGATTCATAACAGTAGCAACATTACAGTTATGAAGTAGCAACGAAAATAATTTTATGGTTGGGGGTCACCACATGAGGAACTGTATTTAAAGGGCCAGAAGTTGAGAACCACTGACCTAGACATATGTTTGCATTTCTCTTCAACTCAGTTTTAACTGCGGGGTGTGGGTGGCGACGTGCCCTATTCATACAGCTGGGAAGAGAGAGCACATGTGTAATCCACAGGTTGTTCCTCAGCACCTCCTGCAGCCAGGCACCCTGCTAGGCTCTGGAGACCCCAACCCTCCCCAGTCCGAATCCCTTCTCTCCGTGAGCCGGGAGCTCTGGGCCTCCCAGCGGGGAGGCAGCCGCAGGCCCTGCTAGCTCTCTGGGTATCTAGTCCATCTCTCCGGGAGCAACTGCATTTTTTGCACGAATGCCAGACTGGGGTAAAAGAAAGGTTGGATGGTCTGCTTTAAAAAAGAAAAGTGTATCTTTTTCTTAAGAATGAAGTGTCTGCCACTGTGCGTAAGCATAAGCATTCTTTTGTCATTTCTCTGTCACCGAAAGGTTTCTTTTCTTTGGCTAAAATTTCAGAAAGTGCGTAACCAGCAATATCTGATCGTAACAGGGCACCTTTGCTCCGATTTCAGGAGCTTAGTCCACGTTGTTCTCCCTTCACTGGCCTTGTCGGCCACTCAGGTGCGAACTGTGACGGGTGCCCGGTGCCTCCTAATGACCGCTGTCCCCTTTGGCGTGTCTTCCCCTTGCACGGGGCACACGTGGACACGGGCCGGCCTCGCCCCCCTGAGGTGGACCCACACCATGCTCACAGGCACTCTTCTCTCTCTGAAGCGGAGCAATTTTACTTTATTTCATGTTCCTGAACTTTTAGGAGCCACCCTCCTCGGCTCCCTCTGTGGCCGCAGGAAAGGCATTCGCTGCAGAGGGATCAGATGAGCCGAGCGTTCGTGTAATACGCAGAGAGCAGGTGCGGGCAGAGGAGAGGAGCCCGGAGGCTGTGGCCAAGGCCGGGGAGGTGGACGTGGGAGGCAGGCAGGCAGGGGAAGGGAATGGGGGCCTGTGTCCTCATTTATCTTGCACAGAGCAGCGGTGGATGTGGAGTTGTGTCTTACCGGGGGTTGGGTTCTGAAGTTAACATGGTGTCGTTTGCAGTCATAATTTCCCTTGAAAGTCTCTTGCGTTGTCCTCGAGTACACATGATTTTGTGCATATAACCCAGACAGTAAGTTATATCTTTAAATGTACACTACATAGAGCAATGTGCAGAATAGAAAAGATGACAAAACATTATCAGGTCTACAGACATGTCTGTGCAAAGTAAAATTTTATAGCACAATTTTTAAAAATATATTTTTATTGATTTCAGAGAGGAAGGGAGAGGGAGAGAGAGAAACATCAATGAGAGAGAATCATTGATGCACACCCCCTACTGGGGATTGAGCCCACAGCCTGGGCCTGTGCCTTTACAGGAATCGAACCTGGGACCCTTTAGTCCACAGGCTGATGCTCAATCCACTGAGCCAAACCGGCTAGGGCTATAGCACACTTTTAATTGCACAAGCAAAAATGGGTGCATTCATGCAGACTCGTGGGTGTGATCCCTGGTGCACTCCGAGCTGGGCTTTTGGAGCAGTCTCCCACTGGAAGGGGTGGGAATAACGGGGGCTGTTCAGGACAGGGAAGCCAATGGCGCAATCCTAGCCTGAAAAGAAAATACACTAATAGATTGGTCCTCGTGGCAAACACCAGTATTTCTACCAAGGGGATTGCCATTTGGTTCCGGGTTTGCTTGTAAGCTGCCTTTGCTTATACTTAGCATTTTATTTGGAACGGTCGATGGACTGATGGAGACCATCGCAGAGTCAGGGGGAGGTAAATCCGCCTTCAGTTACTCCTGGCTCCGACCCCAGCCGTCCTACCTGCATGACCACGTCGGTGCTGCCTCCACCTCTCTCCACCTGGGTTATTTTTGAAGTGAGAAGGGAGAGCTGCTGTTTGCTGGTCTCTGTCGTGAATTACAGAACTCGTCTCCCTCCACATCCTAAGCTGCTTCCTTTCGCTTTCCACTAGGCCGTCAGCGATACAGCAACATCCAGAGTCGTGCTGTTCGGGACCTCGGCTTTCATTCCTGAAGTCTTCTCACATTTTTTTAAAAAGTAAGATGCATGCTCATCTCCCCAGGGAGGAGTAACTATTTTGACAGTCAGAATCCTTATAAAACGTGTCTAATCTGCAGCTGGTGGGAGGGACGGGAGGAACGTGCTTCCGTGGTCTTCCTACTGCACACTCTTCGTCACACTTAGGACAGGAGGATTGACCTGGAATCCAGATGTGCAGGTGCCAGCAGACCTGGAGTCGGGCCCAGGCCCTGTCCTCAGTTAGCTCTGCGTTCTTGGCCACGTCCCAGCATCTGCTGAGGCACGTTTCCTCACGCCCAGCACGAGGGGTTTCGATGATTTGCAGGTTTTCCCAGCTCTGATGTGCTGCGAATGCTGCCCAAGCCTCTGGCCCCTCCTTCATGCCAGGCATGGATTAAATTAGCCTAAATGGTCCCAGATTCAGTAGCCTGTCACCCCATTCGAGAAGCAAGCAATGGCCTGTTGGGAGGAGGGCGTGGGGATCAGGCAGTCTGAGAAGCCCAGCTTGCGGTAGCGCAGGCCAGAGGGAGCTGTGTTGGTTTAGGTACGGGGTACGGGCAGGGAGTGGAGCCCACGGCAGCTGAGCAGAAGCAGCTCTAGTGTGGGGACAGCCCTCTCCTCTCCTGCCACACGTTGGCTTCTTCCTGTCGATGAGGTATGTGACTGCCAACACCTCCTAGGTGTATCCTCACAGTGTCCTGATGAGAAAGAAAAACACAGCAAACCCCGAGGGGGGGTGAGGGGCGGGGAGGGCAGGGAATGTCTTCTGCTCAGTTTACAAACTCCCCGGGAAGGATTCCATTGGCCCACGTGGGGTCACCTGCCTGTTGCTGAACCAATCCACTCTGTCCAGCATGGGGAGCTAGGAAGCCCCTGCTAGGAGCATGTAAGGAGCGTATTTTCAGGAAGTAGCAGCGTCCTGGGCAGCGTGAACTGGTACCTCCCACGATCAGTCCAGCTGGATGGGTGTGGAGACTTCTGCTCGGTCAGGATCTTCCTGGACCGCTCTGCTGGCCTCAGAGCTGGGCTCCGGGAAAGCTGGGGCCCTGGATGCCTCTGTAATGGCACTGGCTGTCTACTGGGGAGAGATGGTCCTCGTTTCCCAGTGGGCCTTGGGGTGCCCATTAGGACCCTGTGTCATCCCACAACCATGATAGTATCCAAGGCAGAGTGACTTCTGCGGCTGACTCAACCCTTCCGTTTTGCATCTGAATGAGCCCAGAGCGCAGAAGGGGAAAGGGACTTGTCTGAGAGTGTCCGGTCTGTCCGAAGCAGAGCCCCGAGCGACTCCAGTACCCCCTGGCTCTGACTGACTCCCAGGATGGGGTTCTTTGCATCTTCCCACACTGTCTCTCACACTCTCAAAGGTCAGGGTCAGAATGTCACATCCGTGTCACATCTCTAGGGCCTGGCCTCTCACTTTGGAGCTGTGGGATTTTGGACAAGTGACTTGACAGTGGCTACGTTCTCTTGTGTATGTGGGCTGTGGAGCGATCAAATGAGCAAATGCACCTCTAGTCCTTCATCCTGGGCCTGACACTGGTGAGCAAGACAGTTGGCCACCAGCAGAGCAGAGGGCCAGCCTCTAAAACAAGCCCTGTAACCTTCTCTCTCCCAGGACCCCGTTATTCGTGCGATACCCCCAGTCCTTGTGGACCCTAAAGCTGTCTTGTACCATCTTGGTCATGGGCCTGATGGTGCCAGTTTCTTTCAGCATGTTCCCGCAGATACAACGGGTAAGTGCCCCCTCTTGACTTTTTCTCAAAAAGGAATTTTTTCTTCCCCTCATTATAAGAGTAAAATCAATTATTTTCCTAAAAAATCTGCCCAAGTTTATAAAAGTATAAAAGAAAATAACTTTATTGACATATAACCCCATCCCCCAGATCCCTTATGCAGTTTTGGATTCTATTTTTCTTTTTTTAAATATATTTTTTATTGATTTCAGAGAGGAAGGGAGAGGAAGAGAGAGATAAACATCAATGATGAGAGAATCATGGATGGGCCGCCTCTCACACACCTCCCACTGGGGATTGAGCCTCAACCAGGCATGTGCCCCCCGACTGGGAATCCAGCCGTGACCCCCTGGTTCATAGGTCGATGCTCAACCACTGAGCCACCCTGGCCAGGCTGGATTCTGTTTTTCTTAACAGTATATCAGAAGCATTTTTAGGGGATGTTAAAAAAAACAACACCACCTCAGCTATTTTAAATGTTTTATCATTCCAGTGGAACAGTCTGCAATGATAGAAATGTCCTATAAAGGTGGTGTCCAGTATGGTAGCCACTAATCACATGTGGCTGTTGAGCACGTGAAATGTGGCCGCTGTAATTTTAATCAGGACTCACATGCGGCTGGTGGCTACGGTATTGGGCTGTGCGGGTCTGTAGACTAGGACCTATTAGAATTTGTGATGAGTCGGCCTGCCTGGACTCGAATTCCCAGCTGCTCCAGACCTTGATCAATTTGCTTAAACTCTGGGAGACTCTGTCTTTGCATCCGTTAAAGAGAGAGGGCTGTAATAGTATCTCTGTTCCTGGTCCTAAGGACATTGCTGATGCTAGTAGATGTTAGGGATTTCTGGCATTTCTTGGCTGAAAATCTCAAATGCTTGTTTTCTGTCACTGAAGTTAAAAGTCAGTCATGGCTCAGTGGACAGAGCATCGGCCCTCGGACTGAAGGGTCCTGGGTTCAATTCCAGTCAAGGGCATGTACCTCGGTTGCAGGCTCAGTCCCCGTCTCTGGTTTGGTGCAGGCAGGAGGCAACCAATTGATGTTTCTCTCTCTTTGCCCCTCCCCCTCCCTGCACTCTCTCTAAGAATCAATGGAAAAATATCCTCAGGTGAGGATTAACAACAACAAAAAATCAGGTGTGTCCTCATAGCATTTACAGGGTGGGGCAAAAGTAGGGTTACATTTGAGTACACAAAACAGTTTATTCTTACATTACTATTTATTATTTTATTTCCATACGAACAACTGTCAACCTCCTTTTGCCCCATGCTGTATACTTATGGAATGCTTTTATTCACAACCCAATTCTCTAAGTTTAGGCTTATGTAATCATTAATTCAGGCAACTTTGCTTGCACATAGCATAAAAGTTTTAAATGATTTAAGATCGTTGCTATAGTCCTACAGAGGTGGTGAGGGACAAGGGATAGAGAAGAGTAGCTTCTCATTAAAATAGATAAAACAGAAGGAAAAAATCTTTCGAATCCTCACAGTCCTTTTAGAACAGTTTTTGTTACAATGAGGTTGCAATAAAAGTGAACCCTTTGCAAGTAATTCCTTCTGATTGCATTGCACTCAGCGCAGAGTGGATGGCTTATCAGCAGGTTCAGTCACTTACAGCAGCTTTCAGATCTCGTGGGATTGGCAGATTGTTAATGGTTGAAGCTGAGTGATGCGGACATGAGGGCTTATTGCTTTATGTTTGAAATTTTCCAGAAGAATGTTTTTAAGAGGTTATGTTTTTTTTTGCTCTAAATTAGATTTAATTGACTAAAAGTTGGACTGTGAAATAAATGCTTTCTGAAAATGTCTTTTAAAAAATAACTTGGCTTCTAAAGCAAGAAAAGTTCTTACTATAAAGAATTTAACTTTGTTTTTCAGATACAGTGCAGTAAACTCGAACAGGAAATTCAGTCTGCGACAGAAGAAACAGAACTCTTCTATAACCGAGGGGTGTAGGGGGGAGTTCTGGGTGCACTTGATTCCTAACCTTCCTCTCGAGGTTTCAGTTTTGAGAACTGTGCCAGAGGTCTCCTGGGAACCCCCGAGGCGTCTGCGCAGACAGGATGGCTTCCAGCCACACATGCCAGGACCTAGTCGAGGCCGGTCGTGCCTGGGCTTCCAGCCTGGATGGGAGAAGAGACGCGGGGAGCTGTCCTGTCTGACCTGCCTCCCCACCGGGACTGCTGAGGGCTGGGTGGTGGAAGGTCCCTTTCCTGTGTGTCAGCCTGTGAGCGGGCACGGTGAGGTGACTAATAAACTGGTCTGAAGTTGAGTATTGGAGAAAAGAAAGATCCATGGAGCCCAGGGCACAGGCATTCCATGGATGGCTCATCTCAGGGTAAACATGAACCTCGGGTGAGCTGGTGAAGGCCTCCAACCCCAGAGCAACCCTGTTTCCCACTCGGCCCACTCCCACTTGGACGGCTACCTGAAAGCGTTGCCTTCGCCACCCAGCTCCTTCCTTTTCTTCACTGGCAAACAACCCTGTCTCCTGCTTCGCAGGAAAAAGCAAGGCTCTTGGCAGCCATGGAACCTCTGGCACCAAACCTGCAGGCCCTCCTCCACCGCACCCCACCTCCCCTCCTGCATGCAAAGTCACCCTCTGCTTCTTCCCAGTAATATTTAAACTGCTTGACTCACCTGTCTCATTAAAAAAAGCAAACCCCCTGCCCAGGCCGGGTGGGTCAGTTGGGGCATCGTCCCAAACACCAAAAAGTTGTGGGTTGGGTCCTCAGTCAGGAGGCAGCCAATCGATGTTTCTCACATCAGTGTTTTTCTCTTCCCCTTCCTCTCTCTCTAAAATCAACAGACAAATCCTCAGGTGAGGGGAAAAAAAAAAAGCAAAACCCTCATTCGTAGCCACTTTTTCAAATACTGTCTACCCTCCCTGTTCCCACCCCTCCTCCTACTCTGCTGAGACTGCTGTCAGCCATGCCCCCCAACTGCACTGACACTGCTGGCTGCTGGACCAGCCTGTGGGCTTGTTTACTGTGCCTGGCCACAGGCTGACACCCAGCTGCCCCCTGCACTTTTGGGTGCCCATTGAGGCCTCCCAATCCCAGGAAGTGGAACAGTTGCATCAGACCGGATCACTGGCGTCACCCTGACTGCACCCTCCCCCACTCCCATTCAAGTCATCTCAAGAACTCTCCGTGGCCACTGCTACTGCCAGCTCAGTCCAGCAGCACCCCCTGCTGGTAACACTCGCCTTATTTCTGTCTGGCTCCCCGTCCAGGCTCCAGGTGGCCCTTCTACACCACACCTGCTTACTAGCCTTCAGTGGGTTCTCAGCACTTCAGGATCAAGTTCGAATTCCTTGCCATGCAGGCAAGGAAGAGCCTTTACTCGTCTCTTGCCCCTCCCTTTCTTCACTCTGAAGCAACATCCAGCTCCTCAGAGGCCGTGTTCTCTCTGCTCTGGGCCTTCACACCTACTTTCCTCTGCTCTGGATTAACTCCTACTTATGCTTCAGGTCTGACTTGGACTTCAGTCACTCCCTCCAGGAAGCCTTCCAGGATTCCCAGTGCGGAATCAGATGCCTCTCCTGTGCCCCCAGCATTTGTGTCTAACACTTGCCACACCACAGTGCAGTGGCCCGTTTGCAGACCCAGGGCCCCTGTAGACTGTCCCTTGAGAGCAAGAACTGCCTTGTGCATCAAGGGAGCCCTAGGGTACACAGTGCACTGTCAGAGTAGGTACCCAAACATTTGCATCCTGGAGGAATGCTTCCAACACACCCTGCCCGAATCATCAAAGAATATATCTGGCTTTCAGTTTTCCCTGGGCCAGAATGGTGCTTATCTCCAAATTTGATAAAAAGGCTTTCACAACAACCTAAAAAGATAAAATTAGTCAAATTGATTTACCAGATGTCTCAGTGTAGCCCCAGGCTTACACTAAACAAAAGAACAAAATGTACAAAGGCTCCAGATGAAGGCTCACCCACTACAGAAGAGAGTGGAAAGGTGAGGGCATCTTTTCAAGGAGGCACCTTGAAGTTGGTTGCTCTAGGAACAGGCAATGGAGGACGTACGGGTGGGAGGAAAGGAGCCTGGACCCCCTTCACTTTCAAAGACGTCTTTTAATAACCGCCCAGCACACCTGCACTTGGAAGGTTTTGCTTTTTTTGGAGTGGGGAGAATTAGAGAAAGGACACAATTTTTCATCTACCTAAATATGGTTGAATATCAAAATATTTCCATTTTATTTCTGCATCATACATTTGCAATTTTAACAACTTTGATTAGCTAATGCAGTAATACAAAAATGAGGGAGAAAAAGATGTTAGTATTCATTTTCATAAAGTGCAGAATTAATTTTAAATTGTTTGCCTTAGTAAACAAAACCTCATTTCAGGTCCACCCTTACCCAAGGAGGAAGAGAAAGGGCTGTTTTAAACTTTTTACTTAGGAAATGAAAGATCCAATAAAGACAAGATTTTTTGCAAACATTTTTTTCTGGGTAAGATTTCCAAGGACAACAGGACTGACTGTAAAATAACCTTTCAGAGTTAATATGAAAACATATAATAAAATAACAAGTACATAACTTAGACCTCCCTGCTTATTTTGTAATTTCTAGGTCTCCTATGATGAGAAAAGGTACACAGCTGAACAGGAACAGGAACTTCATATGTGGCCCAGTCACTTTTTACTGGAGTTACTTGGAGACCTCTGGTTTTTGCCCTTGCAGGCAGTTAATTCTTAGACTCCCTTACCAATCATGAAAGTTGCTAGTTCAGTTAGACATTAATATTCAAAACGGGCTGCTTGCTTTACTCTGCTATATAAGGACTGGCATCTTTCAAAGTAATATTGCTAGCAACAAGGTGAATTGAAGAGCACTGATGGCTTCAGCTTGCCAAATGCTTACCTCTGAGACAGTATAAATACGAATTATTAAAGTTGTCTACTCAAGTATAAAATCTATGCAAAACCCTCAGAATATAGGTAAAATGGTCAAAGGCCAAGAAAAAAATTTTTTTCTTTTACAAGAAAGTGCAACTGCAGGGTCTTTTGAATGATCTTCTAGACCAGTGGTTCTCAACCTTCTGGCCCTTTAAATACAGTTCTTCATGTTGTGACCCAACCATAAAATTATTTTCGTTGCTACTTCATAACTGTAATGTTGCTACTGTTATGAATCGTAATGTAAATATCTGATATGCAGGATGGTCTTAGGCGACCCCTATGAAAGGGTCGTTCGACCGCCAAAGGGGTCGCGACCCACAGGTTGAGAACCGCTGTTCTAGACAGTCCTGCAGAAAACTTAATAGTTTGGCTCAGAAAGTACAGTTCCTCATGAGGAATTAAAGTTCTTCCTAGAAGAATACAAAGCAACATTTCAGGCAGCTTTCTGAAAATAAATCATTAGTTTGTGGCGACACAATGAGACAAACGGGAACTTATAATCATGGAGGCTTTCGGATCTGCTGTGACTTACACGAGAACTCGACAGAGCTTTTTTCTCACTGCAGCACATCAGGCCATTTTATAACTTATTTACGGTAGTTACAGCACTTTGTCCAACATGGATAACAGGTGTGAAACTAATCAGATAGAGAAAATCAAGTGTTTTGCTATGTTTCAGTGCTTTTCAGGTCAAATCTCAATACTTTCAAATAAATCATTAAAATAGACCATTTTCTTTGTTATTTTCAGTATTATACATAGTTAGTGGGTGATCGTGTCCTCAGTGATACCATCCTGACAGTCAGATTTTCAGCATTTGCTCGGCTGCTGCTAGGTGGTACAGAAAGTTTTCTGTCGCTGGTGGGAATCGTCTTTGCTTTAGAGCCTCAAGATTGAGGACATGCTTTCCTCCATCGCCCGAAACTTCTGAAAAGGGTGCCAAGTTGGTGAAGATTTCTTTTGTTTTTAGGGAAATGTCCTTTAATAAAAACAGGAAAATATGCAATACGTTAGCACTGAAAAATGAGTAGTTTGTTGCATTTTAACGGAATTCTTCCTGCTATTTTTAAAAGTATATCAAATTAACTTTATAAATTAGAAAAAGTGAAACAAAGTTAACAGAAAAATCAGTATCACGGATAATTTTTTCTGCCTCTCTGAATTTGCCTATTTGGGTACTTCATAGAAGTGGGATCATACAATATATGTCCTTTGGTGTCTGTCTATTTCACTTAGAATAATGTTTCCAAGGTTCACCCACTTGGGAACTTCATGCCTTTTAATAATATTCCACGGTTCCTATACACCACACTGTGTTTGTCCATTCATCCACTGATGTACATCTGGCGATTTTCACCTTTTTTGGCTGTTAGCAGTGCTGCTATGAACATGGGTGTACGAATATCTGAGTCCCTGTTTCAATTCTTCTTGATAAACACCCAGAAATGAATTGCCGGATGTATGGTAACGCTATGGTTAGCTTTTGGAGGAAGCCTGCTATCGTTTCTAGAACAGACCTCCTGCCTGGGATAAGAAACCCAGCGCCTGCCACCTGGGCTTACTCCTCTTCACCGACTCACATTCCCTTGGAGGGCTGAGGCCTCCCCAGAGCTCACATCAAAGTCATGTCCTTTTCTTGGTCTGCTGACATCATTACCCTTTCCAATATTTTTGGCCCTGGCCAGTGTGGCTTGCTTGGTTGGAACGTTGTCCTGTACACTGAAAGGTCTCGGGTTAGATTCCTGGTCAGAGCACAGACCCAGGTTGTAGGTGGGATCCCCGGTTGATCCATGTTTCTCTCTCCCTCCCTCCCTTTCTTTCTCTCTCTTTAAAAATTCAGTAAAAACATATCCTCAGGTGAGGATTAAAATATATCCTATATAATAAAAGCCTAATATGCAAATCGACCCAACAGCGGAATGACCAGTGGAACGATCGGTTACTATGATGCGCACTGACCATCTGGGGGCAGACATTCAACGCAGGAGCTGCCCCCAGCCCGCAGGCCTCAGGCCAGCCAAGGCAGGTGCCAGGAAGGCCCCCCTTGCCCCCGATCGCCCTGCTGGTCACCCTGCAGAGGGAAGCGATCAGTGGTGGGGGGTGGGGCTGGCTGGCAAGCTGGTGGTGGTGGGGGTGGGGGATGGGGCCAGCAAGCAGGTGGTGCCAGGCCAGCCAAGGTGGATCACCCCACCGGTCACCCCACATATCGGCCCTGATCGCCGGCCAGGCCTAGAGACCCTACCCGTGCACCAGGCCTCGTGTGTGTGTGTGTGTGTGTGTGTGTGTGTGTATCTATCTACAACATGCCGGACACATTCATTATACATTATACTGAGTAATCTTGTATCACTTTTAGTCCACT